AGGCCCCCACCGGCCTCCATTCAGCGAGGACGCCGACGGCCACCCCCTTCCCCACGTGTCTCCCGCCTCCTGTCCCTCACTCCCCCACCCCTCTCCAGATCCTCCTCCTCGCCCTACTCCGCCTCCCGCCCGTTCTCCCTTGAATGACGGAAAAAGAAAGAGAGGGAGTGCAGGGCAAAAGCCTGAGGTAGTAAATGGGGAACTCGACGCACTGGCCGCCCTCCTCTTCGGCGTCGATGTACACGCCGCGAACCAGGATGGAGTTGGCGCTGTTGAGCAGCACCAGCAGTAGGAACGGCAATACGTGACTGATCCAATTGCTGGCCACAGGGTTATCTGCAAGAACCAAGAAAACATTTTTTTTAAATTGTGTCCTAGTTTTTCTTATGTTTTTTTTTTCCTAAACCGAGGTACGGTTCTGTTACGACTTGATTCGCCCCACCCACATTCATAGTAACTTTGTCTGGTCAAGTCACGCCTTTCTGACTGTAGCGCATACGGATCGTTCAGAACGTACGTCCATTTTCCTCGGATTCATTCAACAAATTACGGAAGCCCAGCACGGCGCCTGCCAGACACGGGGTAGGCCATACCACAGTACACACATGCACTGCAGACAAGATGTTGCCTACCTAACAGGCGCTATGAGACCCCGCATAGGCAGGTTGGCTAAACCTATTTTTGGCAGGTTCAGAGGTTCAGAACGGCAAATGACGGACGTACTGGATGATCCCATTTTGGCCAAGCGAAGAGACACCCCTCGCGTTGTACAGTACAGTTACAAATGTGGATGGTGCGTGCCAGCCACCATGCAGAAATATTAGGGCGTCGCCATGAAGCGACGTGAGTATTGTTCTCGAAATACAAAGCATTTCAAGACGTGATGCGAGGAAACGCTCAAGCGTCCGGAGCCTCTACACTTAGAGGCGCTCAGGACGGGCAGCCGTTGCACACAGCTGCTGGGCGGGTTGGCCAGACCCACGCATTGTAGGCGCTATCATAGCATCAGCATTACGACAGTCGTATTGTGGGCACCTTTAACACATTCAGTGCTCCTGTGCATCCTGGAGTTCGAAAAACCCAGTAAAAACGTGACCACATTGTGGTCACGCCATACCGAACTTGTTCAACACATTCATTAACCCGCGCTTAACAATAAATCTCCACGAACCCGGAAGAAAGTAGAAGTTGAGGAGGTTCCAGACGCCCCTCCACACATTGACAGTCCCGAAGAAGGAGAACAAGTGGTAGATGTCAACGACAAGGACCCGTGAGAAGCCGGACATCCTCTGCACTACGGACATCATACACGGTTGCAGGCTGAATGCCACGATGGTGATGCAGTAGCCGATGGTCTGCAACAAAAAGTGACATTTAGCCTCTCTGTTTCCCAAACTTACTGAAATGCGTCCTGTCTGATCCCTGGCTTACCAGCGATCCCCAGGCGGACCAGTCGTAGCGCTTCGGGTAGAGGAAGATGTCGAAGATGCACCACGCCCCGCGCCACACGAACACCACGAGCGTGTGGACGACGAGCACGGAGAAGAGGCAGTCCAGGACATACAGCCACGTCTGCCTGGAGCTCTGAAAGAGAAACACAATCAGTCATTCCAGCGGAAACAATGCGGCTTAATAATATCGGTGACAACAGCTGTGGAGCGAAGAACGCAATTCTTGTTTGGATGACGAGTGACGTGCACGGAGCGAAGTATTTAGCCATCGCAGCATGCTCATGCAGTATCCGCCAAGCAGCTGAGATCATGCTGCACTCCACTTGCGCACCGCCGCAGAAGCTGTCG